ACGCCTAGCCGCTGCCCATTAGACCTTAATTAGCACATTGTAAGAGGTACATTGGCTTTGGCATACTAAACATTAGTAGTCGAGAATGGCCTAATCCTTTTTGCGGCTTACTGTGTAACCTTACAAACACCATCACCTTACAGGCTACGCATACAACTGCCGAAAAATTTCCTCCGTTTACGCCTTTGCTGAGAGATTTGCCAAGTTCCATTAATTCCCCTTCCCCCTCCCCCTCTTCTCCGCACTGCATGTCCGAACCACAAGGTCTGAGCTGTGCAGTACTTTTATATCCTTCGTTCTGCAAACGCAGTCGCGTTTGCGAGAATGCATAGTGCAACTGCGGCCGATCAATCAAATTCACGTCTAACGCCGTACGCCTTTTTCCAACAGTTCCTTTTGAATCGAGGCCTAACTACTTTCCTCGTCATCGTTTTTCTCGCTCGAATTTGTTCCGTTATGAATATAAAGATGTCTTTTCTAGAGATGCATGTGGATGCTTATGGAGAGTGCTCGCCGAAATCTTTGCTTGAGGCGAGTGCTCTGCGCATCGCCTGTCTTATTGGAGATGGTAAGCTGTATTTGCTCAGGAAATTGTACAGTATTCGTGAGAATAGAGTTTCAAAATAACTTCCAAGGTAACCGAACGAAAAGTCAAAAATCGTTTCTGAAAAGTTTTTGACCTTATGCCATACTTCTCTCGAGCTTTATCTCTCTAAGTACTATTATATATGGGTAGGGAATGCTAAATATACATACATATATGTTCAGATAGAGTGCCGCCTATCGGTTCCCCACTACCTGCTCACTTCGGAAACCTAATTGTGGACGCTATGCGTCACCTGAAAATACTAGATGAGAAGGGTCTCAAGAAGCTTGCTGATTTGAAAGTGAATATAACAAAGGTGTGTCAGGCTTTTTGTCTAAGTTGGCAAGATTAAAGTTAAAAATTCTTCTGTACATTTTCTTTCACCTCAAATCGCTTCCCCAATTTAGATTGATTTATCTGAATGCGGCCACTTTCCTTATGTCGTGCTGTCGCGCTTGGCACAGTTCGATCTAGAGTCTCTTTCAATATCTGATGCGGGACCATCTGGTTCGTTATCTTCTGTTAGTTTGCTAAACTCAAATAATTTTGTCTTTTCAAGATTCTTCAACATTCGACATAGGAGAATTCATTCGTGAATGTGTAAATGACACTACGTTCAAGTGCCTTCGTTATCTGAATATTGGAG